TTTAGGTGGTATACTGAGTGCTTTTTTTTTGGGGGGGGGTCTTAAATCGTTACATTGCAATTATCAACAGAGCTTTTTACACTTGTAGAAAAATAATGTTGCAGAAATATACTTGAACATTGGTTTATAAGTCTAATCAAAAGGCAAAAAGTAAACAAAGTTTTAAAAGGCGAGTTTGTTAGAAATAACTTTGGTGCTACTAGACAAAAGCACAATTGGAGTTAGAATACTCTCTGGGCTCTAAAGGAAGAGTGTGGCGTTGAACAATCAGAATAATGAATGTTTCTTCTAAACTCCAACCTACGTCACAGCTCCTGGCCATCTTCAAATAGTAATTTGTTTGTTTTGCTGTTTTATTGTTTCCTTCACTCCCGTCTGTCAGCCCACTAAGTCAAACAGAGGTCATTTATTACTCGGAAGCACCAATACCACGTTTTCCCCAAACTGAATGTAAGTGCGTACAGTTGAGTACTTGATGATAATGATAACCATAAATACACAAATGACATACCTGCAGCAGTACTTGCTGCTTCCACAGCTGATTAGAACCTAACTGGATGTCTAATCTTATTCTGAAGCAGCTGTATAGAGCTATAATCAGCTCACCGGCGTTGTTTCTGCTGTAGCTGTTTGCAAAGCAACTTAACTGAGCGCTAAGTAAAACGGCGATAGAATACATTGTCAGGTACAGGTACATGAGTTTAGCGTCAGACCAACACCTTTTGCTGGTATTGGGTCCACTGGTCTAACAATTGGAAGGCAGTTGAGGAGGGTTAGAGGTATGAGTCCACAGCAACAGGCCATAGGGTGTCTGATGATGGATTTTGGCCCCTGTTGCCTAGCCCTGGGTCCATGGTCAGCATGATGATGTCTAGACTTTCACACACCTTTACCCCCAAATTCCACTACCTCCGCTCCGACACGAACGCCGGAGCAAAATCGGTCCCGTTGTAGTCAATCAGAGCAATTCCACTACTGCGGCCGTGCTCCGGCAGTGCAGCGCCGTGCGCCGCCCTCTGTTCCGGCGTCCGGCAAAAATAGAATCGATCCTATTTTCGCCGGACGCCGGAGCACCTCCGCAGTAAATGGACAGAAATCACAACGGCCCAACAGGAAAAGGAGCAAGCACAATTTACGTTTTTCACAATAAATCGATAAACAAAAGGTGTTTTTTGTTTCAAATGCACAGGTTTAACAACTTTTAACAACTATCAATGGCGGCTGAAGTTTAAATGCACAAAAATAAGCCATAAATACAGTTTCCACTATCAAAGTAGTCGCCCTTTGTTGATCCAAACACTGCTGATATCTCAACACGAATGATGGGCAGATTAAACAGTTCATGCCGATGCTTCTCCCACACAACGGGTGTTTGGATCTAACTTCCGCGTTTATTGCTCGGACTGTATCGCAAGATCTCGAAAGTCCCGCGCATGCTTGTTTGCCCCCCTCAGGTCTCCGCACCGGAGCGGAGCCGTTGTAGAGCGGGTACCAGTAAAAATTGAGTTCGGAAGCGAGCGGCTGCGGAAGGCGGGGGCGGACCGGAGCGGAGGTAGTGGAATTTGGGGGTTAGTCTCATAACTCTCCCCTTCATAAGGTGTATTTATGCCATTGCTTGTACTGAGTATTGTTTTGAAGTCAAAAAGTTTGCCTTTTAGATTGAATTGTTCTGCGTTAAGCTGAGGGATAAACTGTATAAGTATGTCTATTTTACTAGCCTAGATCCACTCACTAAATTAAATTTTAAAAAGTGAGAGGAAAGGCACCTATTAAACTTGGATTGACTTCTAGATTATGGCCTCAGAAGAATTTGATTTATCCCTTTCCTAGGAAATTTGCTGTAGGTCTCTAAGCTCTCCATTGACTAAAAGTAACTCCTTTATTGATCGTTGTGCAGCAGTGGTTATGATAACATTTCTATGTAATATTTATTTCATACACGTATTTTCGATGGACCTTTCTTTTTTATTGCTCAACTACAGAATTGTAAGAGGCTGAATAAGTCTTACAGTTTCGATACTGAACTTGACCTGCATATAGAAATGCTCATTTATTCACACAAGGCCACATAGTCAAATACTCCATCCCAGAAAATCACATTTTTGTTTATTACCTATGTAGTAACTATTATTTTTTTATCTCAAATCACAAAGTCAAGTGGAGGTCTTTAAGAAATACCACATTTAAATGTTTTATTCTTGGAAGAATAAAATTTACAACTTTCACTTGACTTCTTCTTTTTCTGGAGTTTAGCTCCACCCAACCATTGTTAATTCAATATAGAATGTGAAACAAAGTATTGATTTATATATTTTAGTATGACGGTTTCTTAAAAAGTTGCCGATGTTGCTTACCTGTGTGACCAAGCCTCCTGTGAAACACACCATTTCCCCCGTGACTTCTTTTTCCTCCTATCATCAAATTCCTGTATCGTGTGCCACATCCAGTCACTTCCTCTGCTGAACACACGGTTTTTATAGTAACAAACGAACCAGAATCATTTATAATTAATTAGTTTGGTGCCGCTTCAGACAAAAATAAAAGTATAGAGAGGAAAGAGGAGTTGAATTGTTCTGTTGGAGGCATATAGCGAAGGCTTAATAGTGTCCCCGGTGACAGAAGCTGTTGGGTTTCAAACCTCCCGCTGCTTGCTAGCTCTTTTCTCCCAGTCAACATTGAGGAAGGACCCCCCCCCCTTCCCCTACACACACTAGTGTGCTAGAAAAGCGTTCAGAGATCAAAGTAGACCCTCCACTGTACCACAGTCGGCTACAGTCTGCATGCATGATTGTTCACAGCTTGTTTGTTTAACAAAAGCTTTGTTTGCAACACGATAAAACGCAGACAGCATCACAGCAGCATTTTCCTCGTTTTACAAATGCTGAATAAATCTCTGTCATCGCAAGCATCAACTTGTGAAATCTTAATCTACATTTTCGTTTTACTCCAGTGTAAAGTCGTTAAACGTTTCTGCCGAGTGAGATGGGAAAACAACTAGCTGGTGTCCTTTTTAGAGGTCCAGCCACCCAACACTTTATCTTTGGTCATAAGATGTTGGTGGATAGAGATGTGAATAAGGAAAGTGATGGGGAGGGGAGCGAAGGAGCAGGGACTTGAGAGGGTTGAGGTTAAATGGTCCATGTCAGTAGTAGTCTTTAACGCAAGGGATTACTGCCCTTTTGTGTGCCGTGAGCTGACTCAGCCACTGAGTCTGTGTAAGACACACTCTCACACCATTTACCACACACTGACGCCGACATCCTGATCAAGCCAACAATGGCTGGGGAGTAAACTGCCGCAATCAGCTTCGTAAGACGAGGGAATAAAGTGAGGCGATGGGAGAAGAAAAGGAAGGAAAATGGGAACAACATGGGAATGAAAATGAAAAATTCACTAGAAGCAAAGGTTATTCAGAAGCGTTAAAAGGGGATTGGAGATGACATGGCTCGAGGTTAGGACATGCATTAATGCACTTAAAGCACAACATAATGAAAATGGAATGAAATGTAGCTCGAGAAGTGCCTTTCATTCTCATACATGTGAGATGGATAGAGATGATGCTAATTAGAGCTTTTATGCATGAGGTGTTAAAGACGGTATCACACAGCGATGTGCTCCATTTTGTCCCCCCCCTTTTGAGTTTTCATGGCTGCATTGAAAACATGGGAGAAAAAGTTCCTTGATGCTGAAGCGCAAAGAGACGCCGATAAAATATTCTCAATATGGAGCGGATAGCTGCTCTGTTTGTCTGGACGCAGGATCGCCATTTTACATGAATTGTGAAAGTTTGGCATCCATTATTTGTCGAGACTCCCAAGTTATTAGATTGTCTAAGTGGAGGTTTTGTTGTCAAAGCCTTATTACCAGTAAACTATATGCTACTATCAAATGAAATCATGGAAAGGGATTATTGACTCAGTCCTGTTTCCAGGATGATGAACCTTAGATGGAAGTCATACCGACAACGTTTGGGAAATAAAACCTATTTTGTGAGATGCTGAAGAAGAAACAATGGAAATGCCATAGCACTCATGTTTAAATTCAGAAAACTATCAGTGTTTGTTCTAGAAAACTCTCTGCTGCTAAAAAGGGCCCAAAACGACAAAGATCAGTGCTTTCTACTGCACAACATCATGGCACTACTTCATTTATAAAGTGACAGTTGTGGTATTTTAGGAAATATGTAGCTTTTCCATTTCTATTGTAGCTGAACTCTTGAGTCGTAGACGTACTCACCAGCTACAAAGCCACATTTCCATTCAGGAGGGAGCTTTTCTTGGTGTGGATTCAGATTCCAACTCTAATCAAGAAAACTGTTTTTTAGCCAGAAATCAGTGTCAGAGTGTCTTCTCTGTAATGAATACACTGCTAACTCTTTTGCCTCTGCCTTATTCTTTGTGTTTGCTGTAATCACCTCTCTCATGTTCAGTGATGAAAGTCTAGACAAACATCCGTGCCTTATTAATCCCGGTATTGCTTTGATTTTGGGTTAAACACGTGGTCATTGTCTGTTTGCCTGGCTCGCACACATTTGCAGCCTTTTTCACTGTAGAGGTTTGTGTTTGCCTCGTGCTGGGGATGGTAACATTAATTATTGTGCCTTTGCAGAGGCAGCCCATGCATTCTGATGAGCCCTGGGTTTTGAGTAAATCCACGTATAGCTACTTTGGTTTGGGTAAAATGGGAAGAACAGGTCAATTAAAGAGGCCTTTGACTATTCAGTGTTTTAATTAAAGTAGCAGTGAAATGTAAACTCAGTTATAATTATGACTAGCTTTAATTAGCTGTCACTCTGATCTTAATTGCTTTTGAATACACCTGACCTCTAAATGCTGCATCTCCAAACATCAGCTTTGGAAGACTGGTCACACACAGCAGAGTCGTAACAGTCTCGTACACGTGATAGTAAAGCACCGCGTGTGTTTCTGAGATGATATTGGAGGGATATAAGGCTTTAATGTGGGATTAACCAACAAGTTCATTTGTATCACCTCTCAAAGGCTCTTCTGGACATGGCGGTGAAGAAGAGTGAGGGCCACACTGTGGAGCAGCTGGAGAGACTCTACTGCCTCCTCAGCCAGAGCATCTACCAGCACCGCAGAGAGTATGACAAGACCCGGCTACTAGAGGTGAGAACCCAACAGAACTGGTTCAGTATTGGTGCAACAACTCATTGGGTTTTCTGAAGTCTTCATCAAACAAATATTTGTAATATTATCGTCACTTTTTACAAAGAAACTAAAAGGTGCAGTTGACTCATAATAATTTGTTTTTGCTTCCTTGGATTTTTGAAATTTAAGAAAATAGCTTCTTAGCACCATCAAGGTGATTCCCATTGGACTGGACACACAGCTGAAGATTGACTAAAGAACGATGCAAATTTCTTTTTAGTATTTTTTCCCCAATCATTAAACTAAAATGTATTTAAGATGCTGTTTCTTTGCTACAGATTGATTTTTAGACCCGAATATGATCTTTTGTCTCTCACTTGGCCAGTTTCCTCTTTATTTAATGTTGTGTGTGAAAAGTCCAAAAATAACTGACCTTCAGAAAACCTGACTAGCCATGGACCAAGACAACTTAAGAATTCATAACATATGAAAGATCAGATCATACCTAACAGAATATGCCCCCCAGCTCCTGGTACAATCTACTGTCGTCTCCCGCCTCGACTACTGCAACGCCCTTCTAACTGGTACTCCAGCCTGTACTGTCAGACCTTTTCAAATGGTCCAGAATGCAGCTGTGCATCTGGTCTTCAGTCAGCCTAAAAGAGCACACGTCACCCCTCTGTTCATTGTGCTCCATTGGCTACCGCTAGCAGCACGCATCTAATTCAAATCACTAGCGCTAGCATACAAAGCCCTGGATTGTACAGCTCTCATCTACCTGAATTCTCTTGCAAAGGCTTACGTCACGGCCCGGCCACTCCGGTCATCGAAGGATCGTTGGCTAGCGGTGCCTACGCCACGCTCAGGACAACCCAGACTCTTTTCATGCGTCGTTCCATAGATGAGGAATTACCTACTAAGTACTACCAGAACAGGGGCTTCCTTGTCGATTTTCAAGAAACTCCTGAAGACCCAGCTTTTCAGAGAGCATCTCCTAAACTAGCACCCTCCCAGTACCCGTCCCCCACTCTACTGCACACTCCATATATCGCTTCCCTCTATGATTGATTATGCTGCCTCACTGCCATCTAGGATTGACTGAATAGTGTTTGTTGTTAGCCTCAAGGGCAACCTGCTGGCTTGATTATCAACTGTTAGTCACTTTGGACAAAAGCGTCTGCTAAATACATAAACATAATTCACAAAAAGGCCTAACTCTAAATAAGTCTGGGGTGGTTTCTGGCTTTTGCTCTGAGATGTATTCTCATAGAGTCAAATAGTCGGACAGTTATGGATGTTCAGAAACATAATTTTTTAAATGATAAATGACCCGCACTTGTATAGCGCCTCTCAGAGTAAGGACTCTAAAGCGCTTTACACTACAGTGCATCATTCATCCATTCACACACACTGATGGTGATGAGCTACGATGTAGCCACGGCTGCCCTGGGGCGCCACGGGTCTCTCCGACCACCACCAGCAGGCTTAAGGGTTAAGTGTCTTGCCCAAGGACACAACAGAATTCTCTATCCAGAGTCGGGATCAAACCTGCAACCTTCCGATTACTGGTCAACCCGCTCAACCTGTTGAGCTGCTGCTGCCCCATTTTAACACTTATTGGTATTAAAACACATTTGCTTTAACAGGTCTCTATTAAACTATCAACTCAGTGCTCATCCTAAAGTCATCACATTACTGCAACATAGACGCCCCACTTCGTCTTTAGATGAAAAAGTATCATTTTAAATAATCACAGCTGATCAGCGACGTTTAAGTCCCCAGACTGTAAACACCTAACTGGTGAACAGAGCTGCTGTGTTAGCCGGTAGCTAGTGGTCTTCTGCTGTAAAGCCTTACTGTACTGGGTTGTTGCTGCCTCAGCCGTTCTAAAGCCAGGAGTGTTTGATGAAGAAGGTGGAGCTGGAGAGGGATACTTGAAAGTTGATTAAACAAAAGTACTTATCTTTGAGGACCACTGGCACACACCTCTAAAGGAGTACATCTAGCTAATGACATCCTAATGACTTGTGGAAAACAATACTGACGAGAGTTTTTATGAGAGTTTATTTATTGATATAAGAATGCGGCACTGCGGCTGCAGAAGATGGTTTTTAATCCTGTTCCTTGCAGCCACTTATGCACACACATTTATCTGTGTATATGTTTATGTATATATGAATAAATGTCTTGTATATTTGCATATTAGGCTTGTAGCAGTATGCCTGTGAGCATTGTTTGGTACGTACCTTGGTCTTAGAGCTATAATAGCTAATTTGGAAAACAAGTTAGCTTAAAAATTGCTTTCATGCCTCTCAACAACATCCCAGCACAGTACAGCTATGAATATATTGTAGAGATTAAAAAAGGGGGGAAAATTATAAAGTGGTTCTCTCGTATTTGCCTAAAAACCTCAACCAATAACACGGCTTGAACTGAAAGCAACTATTGGACCATCCGGTTGTCGGGCCTGCCGAACTGCCGCACTTCCCTACGTCTTTCTCTCATTACACACACTTACACACTCACTTATTTAGCAACAGATCACCACCGGTGTGAGATGTTCACAGATCAAAAATATATGAGGAGAAACAGCCGGCTGCTACAACTTTAGGACAAACTACCAGAGTACCTAAAATAAAAACGCTGTTTCAAGTAGCAGACAACAGAAGACGTTTGCATGTAGAAAATGGCGACTGCTGTTTAGCGCTCTGTCATTGACTCTGGCAATGCGGGTTTCCGTCAACGGGTGGATGCGCCTGGGGAAGATACCCGAGTGGAGGGGTAAGTGTTGCGTGACCACGCTTGTATTTGAAAGCTAGTTTGTTCTGTAGATTTGCCATTGTAACTTTAATGCTACGGTTGGGTTCATCATTTTTACAAGAGCGATTTGTTTGTTTGTTTGCCCATGAGCATGATTGTTAATAATAACCATTCCAGGTACGCAGACGTTTTAAACGCTACGCACATCTTATATTCATGCTAAAATGTCGCTAATCACATTAGTGACCCTAACCGAATCAGTTTTTGAACTCTGAATTTAACTAACTTTTAAACTGTGCACTACTCAGTGTTAAAGTCAGACACCTAAATAAAGTTAATTTAGAATATTTGTTATGCAGATGTTATTAGTGAACGTACATTTAAATTCAAATCTGCATCAGCACCAGGCTTCCCAAGGATGTACCTGACTTCAAGTCAGCTTTACTAAGGACAAATATCTTTCTGTCCCGATTAGGGCTGGGCCATAGTGCCTAAAAGCAATATACCGATATAATGCGGATTTCACCTCGATAACGATAAATGGACGATAACTACAGGTATGTGCAGAAACAAGTTGTCCACTAGATGGGGCTGTCGCATGTATAACGTTGAGTCACATTTTTACGTGACTCAAGGTGGTACAGCTTCTTAAAGGGACATGAACGTTGCCAACCTGCACACATCTTTTCACTTTTTTATTATCAAATCTATTGACATGGGAAAAATGACCTCGATAAGAGTCAAAAATTTCGATAACGATACATTTTCGATTTATTGCCCAGCCCTAATCCCCATGTGTAAAAAGTGGTAAATATTATCAAGATATATTGGTCCACCCCTAGTGGAAACCCTTATTTCCCCCAGAGAGTTTTGCCAACCTCTGGGTTTTTCATTTGGAGAAATTTCCCCTGATTTGTAAAGTTTGGCTGAAGTAGCGCTGGTTATTCTAGCACCCGCTTCAAATCCACCAGTGTGGAAGAGTTTGGGTTCGGCCTCTAGAACAATATTGAAACAGCCACGAGCCTGTCCGGGGTGAGGTCTCAAACCTCGGACTACATTCTCTTCAGCAAGCCTCTTAAACTGAAAAAGTAGGTGTCCATTTGAGGTTCGTCATCGACCGGGTAAGCCAGGACTTCTGAAGAATGCAGGCCTTGAATTTGGAGATAGCCATGTGTGTTACTAGCTAAATATAACGCAGTTATGTGCCCACGTGAGAACCCAAAAGTTCTGTACTGATAATTACAAATATACCCCTGATGTATTTGTCGAACTCCTAAAATACGAGTCACTCTCCTTATAAACCCAACAGCATCAATGCCACTCAAGTGAGACACAGAAAAACATGCATCAAGTCAGCATCCTACAGGTTATGATCATCCCATTGCATCAGTGATCATTTACTGCTCAGAAGTATCCAAACTCTAATACTCTAATTACTAATTATGCTGCTGATAAATTCAGTTTTTGGTGATTTTCTATTCATCTATCTGCAGCCTTTCCACTTCCTGTTTACTGTAGGTTAAATCTTTTCTCACGGGCCAACAACAAAATAAAAATATCATTTTATCTTAAATGAAAATGCAACATCTCACCCGTTAACTTTCATGTTTTGGAGCAGAAAACGAGCATAAAACCAACATATTTAAAGCTCAGTTTGTTCCACTGGTTTACTGTGATGCTCACCTGTTCCAGCCAGATACCTGCATCATGGGGTTGATCTGAGCTGAGGAGGAGACTCCTGTTGTTTTGTTCATCTTCATCATAATAATGACAACATTAGATGACAACAGGTGCTCACATAGGTTTGTGCTGATGAACATGTCTGAGCAGCTTGACCACGTTGTTGTGTGTCGGGGAGGAAACACAACCACAGAGTCGTGCTGGTTTGAGCGTGTCGCTGCTCGCTGGAGTTATATCAGCTCTGTCTGGAAGTTAGTTGGAACACTTTTTCTTTCAGTCGTGAACACTTTACTGAGCGGCTAGAATCTCCGTTTCTGGGCTTCAACGTCAGAAAACAGCGGAGTGAACTCGGCGCTGAGTGAGAGGAGTGTAGTTTGTCCGAGACAGCGGAGCTGCAGAGACCGGCAGCAGGCGCTGAAAAAACACAAAGGAGGGGGCTTCGTCGGCTCCGCGCTGACGCCGCAAAGCATCATGGGAGTTGAAGTCTTTGCGGTAAAATCGGCCAGCGGGCCAGTTTTAATATATTTTTGATATTTATCTCGCGGGCCACATAAAAATGCTCCGCGGGCCGCATCTGGCCCGCGGGCCTTGACTCTGACATATGTGTTTTAAACCATTTGACTCCTAATAAAAAAAAACTGTCGAGATAATCTCTCTCAATTGATGGGTAAAGGGATTATCCTACTGTTATGTAATCCCAGCCTGTCACTGTTTCATGGCACGTTTTCCACAGCGCCTTTCTAACTAGCAAGAAACAGAAATATGGGGCATTAGTTGTGTAGCAATTATTTATTAAAGTGTGCTTCCTAGAATGGCAGTTATTTAATATGCTGCTTTGTTTTTACCCTCCAGTAGAGGAAGGCAGAAGCTATCTGAAGAGATGCGTCTCTTTTTGTCGTGGGAACTTGAATCCAGACGCCGGTGCGCTTTAAGACGGGCTGAAACAAAACAGAATGTTTGTTTGGGCTCATGACAGAACCAGGATAGAGATCTTTCCTGGAAGAGGTGCTTGGCATCAGTGGCATCAATAGCGCCAGCATCAGGTGGAGGTGGAGGGTTTTTCTGTATCCCCGGCCTTATTGACACAGAAGAAGACTTAATGAGAGAATGTGCAAGGTCTTGTCAAGGGCCTGTGATGGATACAAGCATAGTGACAGGTCATTAGAGAGGCGCGTAGTGCCATTTCACACTCGACTCATGGCATTTGGCAAGTCTGATTCTTATAATCTGGCATTCTGTCACACAATCCGAAGATTATCTTGTTACATGAAAAAATAAAAGTCTTCCTGCCACAATAAATCCACAAAAAAAAATAGTAATTCACAAACAGATTCTTAATTTAGGTGCCTTTTTCCTTTTTGTCCCTAATTCCTTTTGACAGCGTTCCATACAGAGGTGACTGCTGTACAGTTTCCCAGAATGCCATCTGGTCATCTCCTGCTGCTGCAATAAGCTGTCAGTACAGACAGGAGGCCGGGACTGGCTGTGTCGTGGCGCTGCTAGCCAGAGCTGGCTGTCAGCATGTCAGAGGGAGGAAGCGACGAGGAGAAGGAGCGAGCAGTCATCCAGGTGGTGCCGCCTGTAGACAGGCCCCGCTGCTGCTGGAGGGAGGGAGCGCATCGGGGTTCATCTCACACTGCCAGCCTAAATTGGTGTTTGGAGAGCAGAAATGTCAGCTCATCTGGCACATGTTTTGTTTGCCTGTGTTTCCAACAGGCAGCTTGACTCCGCAGCAGGTCATCTCCTTGTAACTCCCCTGAGTGAGCAGAAACACGCACACACAGACGCACGCAGAGCCGCTATTGGATATAGCGGCCGCAGCGTTCTCCACTTAATGTTGCACTCTGTTGCAGCGCGTGGTGTTTGTGTCTAAATCGTAGGGCCGGGTGAAATGGAGCGTGTCCGTACATTTGTCTCCCCCTCGTCCTCCTCTGGGTACAGCCGCTCCGTCTTCAGAGGAGCTGACCTTTCGGCAGATGGAGCGAACTACAACCTGCTTGTATTTGAAGCCACAGGGACCATATCTGCCCAGAACACAGCTACGTCCCAACTGTGTCTATCTGCAAATTACAGTATGCATTGGTCTATGCCTGGTATCATACCCTCCGTCTCTGAGAGCAATTGAAGACCTTTATAAGAGGTTTAGACCTCTTAACATGATCTGTGCAGCGTACAATGTTTCTGTCAAATGAACAAAACTATAAAAGTCATTTATTTCTAATATTTTTGTGATATTCGACCTCCCAGTATTCATGTGCACAGTAAGGTTGCTCGGTTTCCGCAGCAGCTTGTGTGATATGACGGGAGTTTAGAGGTGTGATGGTCATATCTTCTGTTTCCTCTGTATTCAAACTAGAGCTAGTCGTGATCAGCAGGGATGGCAGACCTGATCAGAGAGGAAATTAGTCTCCCACAATCCTTTGTGATGAAGGGCGAAGTGCAACAGGCGAGAGTTGTAGATGCAGCTGATTGGAATGACCCGGAGCAGTTAGCATTTACTGAATACACGTGTTTTCCTGCTGCTTAAAAGTCACATTTGCCTTTAAAAGGATTATGGAATGCGTGTTGAATCTGGGTCATGATCTTTTTCTAATCATAAAAAGCTAAATATGTAAAAATCTTAATATCTAGATTAATATAGTGAATAAAATACGATTCGGTCATAGTGTAGGTCAGGAACAAGGCTGAAATTATTCTTTTAAATAAATTCTGAAGCATTCGCTGAGGAACCTGATTCATCCTCTATTGGTGCCTTTCAGTCTAAAATAATCATGCATGTTCGGTTTTAGGGAAATTATATTAGAAATTATAATTGATCAGTTTATAACATTTTTGAGTCTTGAGCTGTCTAAATGTTTTTGCTGTTTGTTTGCATATTAATTAATAGTGGCCATATTCACTTCACTCACCTATTTTTTAGTTTATCGCGTTCTTTTACCAAGACTCTTATTGTGAAAGGGTGTTAAAAGGAAGTTATGTCTCAGTTTGGTGCAGATGTCGTAGATATAATAGACATTGGACTGAATTACATCCGTGTTATGTTAGCGGTGGTTGTGTCACTCGTAAGCGTCTGTTATAGCAACAGCGGCGAGTTACAAAGTAAGATCAGTCCAGCTGGAGGAAGCACAAGTCGACTCTACGTTAGCACTAATGTAATGAGCAGGAGCCGATGACCCGTTAGATCCCTGTTTTCCTCGTCACGTCAACTTTATTTCTTCACGTTGTGTAGATTGGGGGATTAGATTGGGGGATTATCTGGGAACTACAGCTTCCAGCGCAATACAGATTAGATCTCTGGGGGATTATAGAGGCTGCTGTGCTTTTTGACTGCTGTCTCTGTGTCTTACAAATCTCCCCATAAACGGCATGCTCGATGAATACATTATGGCACATTTACACTGTGGTCAGCTCAGTCAGGCCCTGGTAGAGTCAGCTGCATTTAAGCTGCATTTACATCTGGGTAGGCTCAGCCTGGGGTGGCTGGGGAGTGGGACAGCCCTTCCCCGTACAGCCAGGTGTTGTTTACACAGCTTTTGCAGGAACGCAGCTGTTGCGGAACATGTGGGTGGGGCAAAAGAGAAGCCCGTGGTCTCCTTAAGTTACACAAGTAATTAAACAAAAGCAGGCATGAGCAGTGTTGCTGTTGGAGACTTTGGCATGAAGCACACACCTTCCTACTCTCACTGAGCAGTGGTGCAGCTGTGGGCTCCTCTCCCATCCGAGAGCACTCACTGCAGATGGACAGTCCTCACATTCCCACGGCCGGAACAGCTGGTCCGAGCTGCGGTGAGAAAAGATTGTTACCTTATTATAAGCTGGGCAATATATCGATATTTTACAAATATCGATGTAATTTCTAAACAAGATACAAGATGACTTTATATCTTTATATCGATGTAACTGGTCAAACTGCTATGCTAGCGATAAGCCGCTATGCTAGCGATAAGCCGCTATGCTAGCGTCATGTTGCTCTGTCTCTTAAGCGGTTATTACGTGTAAAAACAATAAATATTGCCTTATGGGGTATCATTTTTTCAGGACAACCTGGACTATCTGAATTTATACTTATTTTATTAATTTGGTAATAATGTACGTGCATTTTGGAGTGGGGAGTGGATCTGTCAGCTGCGCGGCGCCGCCCACTCCTCTTGTTGGATCTCCGAGGAGCTGGACCTCTGCCTTCATCCTCTACCTCATCATGACCCAACTCTTCTATGAGGAAGGATGGATCTGCAGCATCGTCATCAACATCCTCGCTATTTACCTCAGACTCCGGCTGCGAGTCTCCGTCCACTTCCTCTGCTTCCAGTTCATAAAACATCTGAACTGCCTGGTGGACATTTATCCTTCTCATCATCCTTTATTAAAGCCTAATAAAAGCCTGCTAAACTGCAGAGATAATATATCTGTCCGGATCGCTCCAAAATATGAAGTTTACCATCAATATCTGTCTAATTGTTTGTTGTTACTCCGTTCGCGCCACTCCTTTCCCCGCAAAGCGGCTCCTTTTTGCACACATCTCGTTACTCGTGCGGCCTTCCTCTCTCTCTCAGCTACATAATGATGCTTTTTATCAGTTGAATATGTGAGACTTCCACCAGCAGCAAAAGGATCTCATGTTTTTATGTTCACAAGCACATTCCCTCTCACGGATTACTAAACTGCTGTTTTGACAAGTTACAGATTGTCTAAAAATAGGTTGTTTTTTAGTTTAGTATAACTCCGCTTTTACGTCGCCTATTAACAAAATTTAAAAACTGGGGTGTGGTTTATAATCTCCTTTTTAAAGCTGAATTGAAACCGAAACTCAGGGAGGCGGAGTCTTGCTGCTACAGCGTCCCAAATCAGACCTGTTCAGAATACGCGGACACGCGTCCATGGACCCCAGAGGGTTCAAATCCGTTATAAGACCAAGAGGCTTCTGTAGGTGGGTAATCATGTAAACATACCTGTCTCTCCGATTTCCCCGGGTGGTGTCTCATGTAGAATTTTGTCACAAAGGCCAGTTCCTTCCCCAGAGAAACTTTTATCTGCTTCAGAAGTGTAAAATTACTTTGGCTGAGAAGCTGATAGTTTTTTTCTCCCAACTTTTGCTGAAATTGATATCTCATAAGGGCGCCCGTCGCAGCGATCAGCCATTCAGATGAGAGAACACACACGACATAACATCTTCAAGGCATTAATCATGGTCTATTGCAGCCTAACATCCATCTCTCTTCCTCTGGCTTCGTTCAGATGTAGTCAGTGTCAAACTCTGCTGTTTTCATGCAGAGAAAAATCGCCCGTCTTACTCTTGCACAGCTTTTGCTTCGCTTTACATCATTTATCACGGTGAAAGCTGTTGTTTGCTGTGGGAAATTTCCAAGTAATATGGAAGCCGTGGCGCACAGATGCTTTAGTACACACATCCAGGTTTGCTGTGTTGGCTGAGATTAAGCAATGTGTGTGTGTGTGTGTTGCAGGAGATGGAGGAGAGAATCCAGCGTTTTGACACATTCCTGTGAGATGGAGACAACATCAGGTAGATCCTGAACAGTCTGGGACCACAAACACATGCCCTCATCTTGGTAGGAGAACAAGAACGAGGACAGAGACTTTCAAAGGTGCTATCGTCTCAGGAACCTGGCCAGATCCAGACCCATTCTTCACAACCAAACACTCGGAGTGTGTTTGCGCTCCGCCGGGTGACCCTGGTGCTACTCGGGTGCTATCCTAAACTTTGTTTCATGCTGCTCTTGGGAACATTTCTCAACCCCGATGACCTGTAAACCTACAGATTAGGTGATGTCATATCATGACCTGGCCGCTCCCTCCACAGCAGACAGCTCACCACACACACACACACACACACACGCACACACACACACACACACACACACACACACGCACGCACGCGCACACACACACACACACACGCACGCGCACACACACACACACACACACACACACACATTCAGACCCTCACCAGCAGAAGTGTGACTGCGGAGTGTCACCAGGAGAGCCTGGATCGCGTTTTGAATCACTGAACTGTACTGCTGAAGCCCTCTTGCTGTTGAGTGGAGCTCATCACCATCACCGTGCTTTTATGTGGCTAATTCCTTTCTGCCATTTTAGCTACTTGACCTGTTCACTATCTGAGCCACCGACTAGGATCCTCACCCCGAACAAAAGCTCACCGAGAACATTCAGCGCCATCAGGATGAGGTCAGCACAGCCGCCACATTCTCTGCAGACGGGGGAGCCATTTAGTTGTTCAGGAGTCGACCTGCGGCCCCCCCCCCCCTCCTATCAAAGAATGTTTTCTTTCCCTGTTCCCCCCCCCCCCCCCCCTCCCCCCCTCACCTGGCTGACGACCAGGAAGCAGAACAAACCGAACGGCGACTAGTTTGCACTGCCTAGCTTGTGCCTTATTTAAATCCCAATGAAACAAATTTACTGGTAATAAACAGGTTATAAAAGGGGGTGGAGCCTAAATATACGAATGCCACTAGATTCATTAAAAACACATTTCAGGAACGTAAGTTTTGACGCTGACTTTGGCACCAAAAAGCTCGTGACAGACTGCTGAGGATCACTCACCTGGTTGTGTTTGCATCTGCAGCTCTTCAGATCGACGACGTTAGTTTATTTAAATGTACTTGCGTCCCGCTGAGGCCCGGGCCAGCTGGGGGGAGGACAGTCTCCACCTGAGCAGACAGCGCCAGCCTCCCCTCGGGTTGAGCATATGCAAGGATGTAATGATGCGAGTGGACGGATTAGTCGTGCCAAGTGTTCCTCCCTTCCTACGGTGCTGAGGCGACGGCGGCCGTCTGTTCCAAACTGTTCAGGCGCTCATGACTTCTCTAAGTTGTACTTCTGACGATTCTTTTCTACGTTTTGGTTTTCTACAGAAATGCTTTGCGAACTGTTCGGTTGCATGGTTGATGAATTCATAAACGACTGTTGGAGGCAGTTCCCGCCACTGTTACACGATTTATTGTTTTTCCTCCTAAGTGTGTTCCGATGCATGGAATTCTGCTTGTTCTCCAAACACCGGACAAAGACAAGCCGGATTCTCGTCTGTGACTCACGCAGCTAATGTGGATGATTATGGTATTTCCTGAAGCTTGGGAACATTTAACGGCATTCTCCTGTTTTTTTAAGGTTTTTTGGGCAGGTGCAGCCCAGAAAGGCCCGCGGTTCTGTGTGTTTTTACCCGTTAACGGGTTTCCTCTCGGATCGACTCTCAGCCCAGCTCCCGCCTGCCTTTTCTACGGCGGTATGCAAACTAGCAGCGACAGGTCAGCACTTGGACTACTGCAGACAGGAAGAAACAACCAATGCTACCTCAGCTTAATTTATTTGTTTACTGGGTACAAAAGCAGTATTTTATCTTCATCACCTCACGTTTAAAAATACTGTCTTAACATCTACAGCATCACCGTAGGTACCAGATCAGCGCGGCTGCTGCAGTAATCCAAGAGTAGATTAGAAGAAGTCGGATTGTTTTCCTTGTTGCATTTGAGCCAGATGATGATTGCTTCTATTTTAAGACGTTTAGTTTCCCAGATCTGTTCCTCCTGCATATTTCTGACTCTTTACACAACTGTCGCCTTCTTTTCCTCAGTTCTCTCCCTCGTTTTTGTAACTTCTGCAGATTTTCATCTCATCGTTCTATTTATTTCCACGGATCACATTTAATGTTCATGAAGCTGTTTGTATGTTTTGAACTCATTTGTACAGCATTAAAGCGTTGGTGTAGCAGGTTCATTTGGTGTTTGTGCCGCGGGGGAATTAAGGGGTTTACTGGTCTCTCAGGTTCAACACGGGACTAAACGCCCTTTCCGCTTTTTCTATTTATTTTATTGTTCTGTTGTTTTCTCCGAGTGACTGGACTGAGCTAGCATGAGGATATTTAAAACGTTCACTTCCAAGTTTCTGCCAAACTAAAATTTTTTTTTGTTCTCCTTGTGATGGATTTCTAAACATTGTCAAACGCCATCCTTTCTCGTTACGCGTAGCCAGTCTGGACTAACAGCGAGGTTTTATCTGCTAGTTTGGCGTTTCATGCAGAAGGATCCACCAGGTTCTTCCCCACCACGTTTGTAGCCCTTTCGGTTCGTTTGTGTTTTTCCTCATCCCTTCACATCGTTACTTTAGTGTAAGTTATATTCGAAATGAAACATTTACTGTATTTCTTAAATAAACTGCTGTTGAAATACTTGAATAAAGTTGCAAACTGTAAATTTGGTGGAATAAAGTCACGTTTTTGTTTGACGGGAGCAAAAACAACAGACTCGACCAGCTGGTGCTTAAGTTCTGGTTTATGTTGGGTTCCATAATAACAACTGTTCATTTCTTCTGTTGGGCACAGATTTACAGACATACTGTGACTCCAGTCTATCAGGATTTTGTTCTTTTCTAAAAACATTTATACAGAATTGCTTTCAGTTTTTAAAATATACATATTTCCGTCCCGTATTTACAGAACACCAACCCATCGTTGGTGGGTTGCATTAAAACACACTGTAGAAAGCAGAAAAGGGAGGAAGAGGAGTTGATGAATCACAAAGAAACCATGGACCAACAGATATAACAGTTACCGGTGAATATTGTGCTTTTTTCCAGAGGAAATGTCCCAACTTGAATATTGGATCAGAAGTCAGCAGAAGCAGGAATTTCCTCTTTCTCTCGTTTTTTCCTCCAGAAAGCAAAAATGTGGTTAAAGGTAGAAACCAGATATCTCTATCGCGCTGGAATTACACAACAACGAAAGAAAATTCTGAATTTTCTCCTCCTAAACCCTGCATGACCCAGAGGTGATCTTTATTTCCTGTTGATGGGTTGCTGGGTCACAGAGAGTTCACAAATCTGGTTTCAAAATCACCTCATAAACCCACACGGAGGGAATTTTTGTTTCCTGACCCAGTGAAGAGAGCAGAACCCCTCAAAACTGTTTTCTACGGCCGTGCAGATGTCACCAATGAGAAGCATCGAAACGTCTGCTCATCAGCGTCCATAAAACCCACGGCTGTCAAATGCACTCAAAGCAACTAAAACGTGGACCTTTAATGGCTTTCGCTGAGGTCAGGGTGTGCCATAACCAGACGGCAGCGTGGTGAGTTCAGAGATCAGGAAAAGACGGAACTGAAAGGAGGGCTTTAAACCAAATGAGTAGGAGGGTCCCTGTGCCGGTTGGATGAGAATGAACTACAACCGTGACGTGTGCGGACTGGAGGTCAGGCTTCGTCACCTGCATGGCTAAAGTAGCTGAACATGAGTACATTCTGCACAGGGCTCTGTTTGGAGAACGGGGGAGGGGCTAACCGTGCGGATCAATGCCAGCATCAAGTCCAGGGGTCGCAGACCGACCCGGCTCTGAGCTGCCATCATGCAACGTCCCACAACTGGAGCTCAGCTGGTGTTTGGTGGCGACCCAGTCCGAGCAGATGTCAGCCGCTCTGGATGTACTTTTTGATGACGACGCAGCCGTGTCTGAAGAGCGGGCAGGGCAGTGACTGCAGGAGCGTCCAGGTGTTGGTGCAGGGGTCAAACGTCTCCATGTTGTTGAGCGCCGGACCCTCGCTGCTCACGATGCCTCCTGTGGCGTAGATCTTCCCGTCCAAGATGGCGGCGCTGCAAACACACACAGGAGTTTTAGAGGTGTACCCTTGTAGGATGCCTCTGTCGATGCAGATTACAGCCCAACAGAATTATAATCTAGGATTAACAGCAGGTCGACTTGATCTGCTGGAACCTCATCGAGATCTCCCTTACATTTTATTTGTTCTCATTTAATCATATTTTGAGAGGTGCCATATAAAATATTTTCTTTGTTCTAAACTAATTCCTCTCAATTATAAATAGACTTTCTGGATTTAGTCCGTATCCTGATGATCAGAGCTCAACAGTTACCTGCTGGTCCAGATTACGGTTAATTCTGATTTATTTTACGATTAATGGAATAAAAATTTCCACATGAACTATTTGTTTATTAAAGTAGTACTAAGTAGTGGATGAAAGTGCTGGCCTTCCCCTGACATCAGGACATCCTGGCACTGCCAGTAATTATATTTATTGTCAAGTTAACTTAATAATAATGCTAGAAACCCGGCGCTGTTTGGACGGCTCAATAATAAGAGGTCAAAATGACCAAAACATCCCTCCGTGTGAGAATCAGCTGCTGCTGTGGGACAAATGAAAATGCTGCGAGCCACAGCAGCAGTAGTACGGCTCACGTTGTTGACCAAAATCTGACAGAGGGGTCGCACAAATCTCAGCAAACACGCTGATCGCCGTGCTGGGGGCTCCGTTCTGCTCATGATCGTTTGACAGCACCAACACATGCTCTCAACATGGCAAACACTGCTAAGGTAAAAGAAAACTAAGTGCTATCTCACACCGCGCACGAGAACGAGCTAATAAAAAAAGGCAAATATCAGAACAAATGCGCTCATGTGATATGAGCAACAGAAGCAAGAGTTTGTGTGCGGAAAGGATTTAAACTTGGCTCGTGAAGCTGATTAGAGCTTTGTACTGCTATTGGGGTTTGGCATGATCTGCATTTACATAAGGTGCACGCTCAGAAACGCACGCAAACAACACGCGGTCCTCCTGCACAAATTCTACCCACGGCTGGGACTCAGAAAAGATTATTACATAAAGCCTGAATCTACTCAGAGACGAATGCACAGCTGATCCAAAACGGGGAGGGCACGGGGCTGAGCCTGGAGCGGCTGCTCCTGATAGACGGTGGGGGTGGATCGCTGCTCTCCTGCACGCTGACCTGCCAGGCTTCATCCTTGGCGCTCGAGCGTTTCTCACGGCAGCTTGTTGTTCTCCCTCCCTCCCTGTTGTGTCAGACTTAGTTAAATGTAGCAGAACAGCTGCCTGGTGCGTGCTGGTGTAGCTCATCAATAACTCTGACAACATGATTTATGCTGCACTTTCTGCACAGAAGATCACCATGTGTAGCTGCCTCCCAAACGTACTTCATGCATACTTTTGTTTTTAAAACGGATACAAAAAAGTCTCGGATCAGAAACTTAAGTACAGGAGGCATCGGGCTGCATGGTGGCGCAGTGGTTAGCACTGTTGCCTCGCAGCATGAAGCTTGCAGGTTCAAAACTCGGCTGCGGCCTTTCTGCGTGGAGTTGCGTGTTCTCCCCATGCATGCGTGGGTTTCCTCCGGGTACTCCGGTTTCCCCCACAGATCACAACATGCCCTATAGGTTGTAAATTGTAAGTCGCTTTGGATAAAAGCGCCTGCTAAATGAATAAACATAAGTATTTGGCGAACTGCACACATCTCGGTGCTCGACTTGACTGGAGTATTAAGGTGTGATGCCGCTGCTCTTACTACTTCGTGCTTGTCACCTCGCTCGACTGATTACACGTCACCTTCAACGAGCAACGAGTTAATTTGTCCCTGAAAATCGCACATCAGACAATTTAACGTGTCTGAAAATCCAGATTTTGATCGTAACCAGAGCAGTGCTCTTAACACACCACACACAGCAGGAATATCTGTTAAGATTGTCTTTAGATCATTACGGTAATCCGGCTCCTTCTTAAAATTGTCCAAAGTGGAGGATTGGGTCAAAAATCGGCACAATTAACCTGTGAGAAACATGCAAGAACAGGAAATCTATTAGGCGGTAAATAATGTTTTATGGTGCTGTTCTTCAGTCAGAGTGCAAAAGTCCCACCAAAGGAGAGAAATAAAACAAAAAAAAGGAAATTAGCTAAATGTCACTGTAATAATCCAAAATAGACCAAAGGAAAACTGATTCACTCAAATGGTGTGCTATTAAAGACTCTCAGCAGGCAAATCTAAATATCAAACCCGTGGAACGGTTAGACTTTGTCCCACCAAGGACAATGTTTCTCTAAGGAGTTGCATCATTCTGGAAACACCCAGAGCTGCTTTGTTCACGTTTTAATTAAATAGCCTGAATACATTTCCCCTGTCTTTACCTGAAGCACAACTCAAAGACTGGCAGATTAATAAGAAACTTCATTATTCTTGTTTTGTTTTGTTTGAGGCGGTGCAATAATGTCCTCTTTCTAAAAGGCTTTTAGGGAGGGGGAGGTGCCACACAGATCAGATCTGCTGGATTTAAGAAGAACATCTTTAGAATGCCACACCAGGGGATTTTTATCTTTTACGTACGGTAGCTGCTACGTTAATTATCTCTTACCTGCAGAACTGCCGAGAATGATTCATGTTGGGACCGGCCTTGATGTTGCCTTTGTCTGGGTCGTAGATGGTGGTGGCTCGCGCGTAGGCTCCTCCCAGGATGAATATT